AAAGACGTGAAACTGATAAGTCTAAGATCCTTCCGGCAGCTGTGAGAACTTCTCCCAGCCTTAGGGATGAGGACCACCTTAGCAACATTCCACGATTTTGGAATGTAGGTTAAATCTATACAGCACTCATAGATAATCTTAAGCCAAGGAAGGATGACCTCCGCAGCGCATTGTAGTTCTGCTGTACTATGTCGTCAGAGCCAGCCAATTTAAACGGATCAAAGCCGCGAATGGCCCAGAGTATTCCCCCCTCAGTGATCACTGCTCCCGCGCACCACTCGCCAAAATGACTATTCGGAGCATGCTCTTCGCGACCTTCAGGAAAGTGCGTATCCAAGACCAGTTTTAGAGACTCCGAAGGGGAATTGGTCCAGGAGCTCCAGTGAGCGTAGAAACCATACTGTCGAGGTCCGCCGGCGTCTCACGACGTGAAGGGATCTCGGGTCCAAGGCCAATCAATCCGCCTGCGGTTCCTAAAAGTCAAAGGAGAATTGTGCCTAGCAACGAATTCAAATTCTATATAGCGATGGTCCAAAAAGGAATGCTCTTGCGATACTTTCCAGTTCGTAACCGAGCCAAAAATAATTTGTGAGGCAATGGTTACGTGTATAGCCTCCTGCCTATTTTTAAAAACGAATGTAGGCTCTGAGCCTCTATTACATAGTGTGAGGTTAGTACTCAAGATAAAATCAAAAAGTGACTTACCTCTAGTGCTGGTATCCGAGCTTCCCCAGATCACGTGATGTACGTTGGTATCGTTGCCAATGATGAGACCAGTGCCAAAAGACCGCGTCTTCTCCACCAGGTCTCTCAGATTGCTAGGTGGAAGCATCCCCTGGGAATCATAGGGCAGGTATACTGAGGCCCACCAGGAGATTCTGCCACCGACCTAGAAACTGACTGCAGTCAAATCTTCATTGCTGTAAAGAAGCAACAGAAAAGCATTTAAGTTACTTTTAATTAATATGCATGATCTTACCTTTCCGTCGCTGTTGCTATAAAACAGCTTATAGTCCGCCGTCCTGAGTCCGCAGATATTTCCACCTGCCAGCCAGGGTTCCTGGACCAGAAATATGTCTTTCTACCATATTTTATTCTTATGGACAGTCTTATTTACCATATCAGGAATAAATTTTCACCAATTTCTCATTCCAAAAAATCGAAAAATACCGGTAATTTACGATTACGGGCTATAGTCAAATACAAACTGCCCTGAAAATCTGAAAGCCTTGAAAATTTTTTAAGAATTTCTTATAAACAAAGTTGATTGAAGAATCGTTACTTAACGGCTTTAATATTTGCTGCTGTTCATCATTAGCTTAAACTCTTAGATTTCCTGATAAAGTACGAGTACATCCGGTTCTGTGCATAAGCGATAAAGCTTAGTATATGGAAATATAAAAAAATCTTAAATAAATTTTTTGAAAATTGAATGCTTATGAATCATTCAATTTTATAATAGTATAACAATAATTTTATATGTATAATAATATTAAATATTTCACTAAGATTTAATAATATTATATAGTTTTTTGCATACATATATATACCTTTACGTACAATACACGTCAATCTTTTATAGATTTTATTTATTACAATAAGCTTAATCAAAATTAATGTGAAAACTTGTAGTTTTTAATTTCTAATAGATATTTTCTGAAATTAATTAATTCCATAATGGTAAAGCGCCTTATAAATGCATGTCAAAGCTTTAGGCAATAATTTAATTTTTTTTACGATATTGTAAAAATTGCAATCTAATAATTTAGAATTTATTTCAATTTGAATTAGCTAAACGATCTTATGTTTACAATATAAATTTACAGCTTACAAACATCACACCACCGCAATTTATTACATTAGCATACTGCTTCGGTAGAAATAGGTTAAAATTTCAAAATTTTAATATTAAAATATTGTGCAACATTTTTTGAAATAAAACAATATTAATAAAACTTATTATATAAATTAAGAATTTTCGAAGACAAAATTTCTCAGACACTTAATTTTATTTATTTATTTATATAACGCGCCTCCCGACGCCAGGGTCATTTTGGGCTTACAAAGTTAATTTACCTTAATAAAATGTCTTGAAATTAAGTGGCTTAAATAAGATACAAATGCTCTTAATAAGATCGATATTCTCAGTTATCGGAAGTAAAATTAAATTAAATTCATTGGAGCAGGACTCCTAGACCTTCTAACTAAAAAAGAAATATTTCGTAACAAAACAATCTCCGCATCTAGGTTCTAAAGCTATAATCTGGTCTCCCTATCCGTAAAAGAATTGCCACCAGCTATGCTCTAATGACCTGATATCCAACACTATTCCAATTCTTTTACTGTAAGATAAAATAATATTACGAATTTTGAGTAATTCGTCCTCTCGTTTTTTTGTTGGTCTCATTATTCCAATGAGATTACTCTTATATGATAAAAATATTAATTCTAAATAAAATTATGACAAAAAAGAATTAAACAATAGTAATTTACTTACAAATAAAATAAAATTTTAAAATACAGAAATCAAGTGCGATGCACGTACGTGTTTACACTTTAATTTTAAAATGCGCCAATAGCTATACTATAAAAGTCAAGAAAAACTTTAGACAAGTTTAAATTATTTGCTGTTTTCTATTTTTCTCAAAGTAGCAACAAGCAAAGAAAAACTTTAAGTAAATAAAAGAGAAGCACAAACACAAAATATATGAGAAAAATTGGAATTAATCTTAATTTTGATTTATAGATGTCTCTTACGTTTGATCATAAGTACTTACATATAAAAACTTTTTCTTTTTATTTTACACTAAATAACGGAGAATTATGTTTTTCGATTTCTTATTTTTATTTTCTTGTCATTTATTTCAGCTTCTTTACTTCATTTCCACACTATAATGTGCTGCCGTATACTGCGCATATATGCGCAATTTGCACATACACTTTTTAAAATTTAAGTACCTAGCTAAAATTATAGATACCATATGGATTGTAAATTGTAATAACTTAATATTAAATGTTACTGTCATATTGCTGTACTTGCATACGAATATAATTGTACACATACTTATACTCGTACACAATATAAGAGCGAGTATAACTTTAAGTACATATGCGTTCGTATAAAATTTTTTATTATAACAATTTTAATAATTTTAACAATATATCAGTATTATTACTATTACATTTCCCGTTCCTATTATACATAATATCTCTTCTCTTTACTCTTAAAATTCAAATAAATTTACATAAAATAAATTAGTATCAAAGAAAACTGTAACTTTATAATACTCGCATTGTTGCTTGCCTTCTTGTTTCTCTCTGACTTTAAAGAGATGTGTGTGAAAGGTGTGAATACTTTTGTACATGCATGTACTTTTCCATACGTAATTGTGTGTATGTATGCTTACATATAATATGTAACTAGTTTTGTTCTTTTAAATACTAAATTCTAATGATGTACTCTTAAACTTTTTCTTATTTTAATTTTTATAAATTATGAGTTACATGTTATGAAACTTGTTAACCTCCCTGTGTTTTTTGTTTTTCTTTTTATTTTTTCCATTGTGTCTTGATTTTTTTTCCCCTGCTTATAAGTTCATACATACACCGTATATTTCTGCTATTTTTTTTTCCACCAACTTTTACTGATTTTTAAATATTATAAATGTGCTTTACGATGCTGTTTGTTATATTATGTACTAGTAAAATACATATGTAAGCAAATTGTAGATAAAATACAAGAAGGAAATTTCGTTTTTTTTTGTGTTTGAAATTGAACAGGATAACTCTTGGGTATACAAGACGTATGTTTGTGTTTCTAAAAGAATGCTTTTAAAAGTGTGTTGAATCTAATTAGTTCAATCAGACAACATGATTCTCACAACAAAGATGTAGAGAGCGGAAGTTTAACATAAACTGGCTCTTTGTTTATTTTGAACAAAATTTACTTTAAGATTCTAAGAGAAAATTGGGGAATTGGAATAATATCAGCTGTTGTTAGTTAGGCGTAAAATGAGCCTTTTTAATTAATTTGTTAGGGTCTTGCAAGCCTTATTTTCTATAAGATGCACAAAAGATATAAAGTTCTTCAAGACCTTTTCAATAACTATTTCAATTTTTACTAGAGAGTGATTGTTCTGAAGCCGAAAGTTACTTATTTTCTGTTAATTTTTTTACCCCTGAAGGATTAATTTCGAACTTATCTATTTAAGGTATATACCTCATGAAATAATTGCCGTATATTTCGATACAATACTCATTTTCTGGAAACAATAATGAACGGCCTACGTTTTGTTTTATGGAAAATTTAATCGAACTTTTTAAAAGCTACTGTAGTAACTTTAGAAATAAACACAAATTTAGTACTCCAACATTATGAATGAAAAAACAAAATCCACTAACCTCAATCTTAAAAAGAAAAAACCCCAAAATACTTGTGCGTATAAAAATGTTATTTGAAAACATGAAACAGAATGACTTACAATAAAAGTGAGAAAGTAAAAAATAAAATAACATTAAGTACAAGAAAAAAAAGAAAACAAAATTAAATCCTATGTACCGTTACCCGACACAATACAGATTTTCATCCCTTAAATCCCCAAAATTAATGGCAGACTGTTACTCACAAACAATTTTTATTTTTCATAACTTGCATTTATTACTGTTACAATTTACTTACAATAAAATATAAAAATATTAACCCCCAACTTCCTGATGTTAATTTTTTTTTATTCTTTCTTTCATTTTATACACAACTGGAAAAAGGGGAGAATTTTTTTTTTTCAAAGGTTACAAAAATTTTAATACGAAAACATTTTTTACACTTTGCATACCATTTTTACCATGTTCTTATATTTTACTAACATTGTAATACCATTACCGTTACTTTATTACGATGAATAAAAGAAGAAAAAAAAAGAAACCGTTTTGAATTTTCTATAATCGAATTTTATTTCTTATCCCATACTTTATTAATATTTTTTTATCCTTTTTCTTTACAGAAAATTTATGCAAAAGCAATATATGACAATATTGCTGACAATCCTGATGAATTGGCATTCAAAAAGGGTGACACATTAACCGTTTTAGAACAGGATATTGAAGGATTAAATGGATGGTGGTTATGTACCTTAAGGGGTAGACAGGTAAGTGTAATTTTCTATTTTATAAACATACTTTAATAATTTCTTATATATTGTAATGTTCGACATAAATTTATACATATAAATTCGAACTTATATACAATATTAAATTATAATAATAAAAAGTACATTGGTATAAAAGTTTGCACATACACACACATATTTAAAAATTATAGATACTTACACAAAATGATTATTGATTATAATTTTATGATTAGAGTAACTTTAAGCATATGCTTTAATTTTATCTTTTCTATTTGATTATAATATAATGTTAAAAGAAAGTGTTGCCGTTTTATATTCATAAAAATTAAAGTGCAACTGTCGAAACATACTCAATCTGTTATATGCTTATACAAAACTCTAATGCAATTTATTAAACACACAACACATCATACAAAAGGTTCCAGGAAGAGCAGCAAGAAAGAATTAAAATTTAATTCTCTTTTTTTTTTTAAATTTGCTGTGGCTTATTTAGTAATTATTGTGAGAGAGAAAATAAACTTTACAGCTCATAATAATATAGTTTAAATTGCGTATTGTAATGTAAATTAAAAGCGTACTTAAAACTAGGAGAGAAATTATGAAGTAATAGTGTTAACTGAAGGTTTGAGACAAATACGAATTAACTTAAAATAATGTGGCTCTGCATCTTGTAATCCAGAAGTCAATTAATTAAGTAATAAATTTCAGGCTACCGTAGCGATCGTTTACTTAAAAATTGTGTTTATTAACCCGCTACAAATCGTACTATTCATAAACCTATATCATAAACGGCAACTCTATTTTTATCACACTTGTACTTTAAAACTTTTTTTTCATCTTTTCCTTATTATATTTTAATAATTTTATTATGTTGAAAGGTGTTTTCGGTTTATTTTGCATAAGTATAACATGCGTTGTCAATTTTTGTTATATGCTTGTATATTTTAAAATTATATTTTAAATAAATAAATTATTATATAAAATATAATATAATAATACCAAATATTATATAATAGGTATTTGTATAACATGTAATATAAAATATATTTTGTGGGGAGCTTTAACTCCTTTTCTTATGTATATGTGCTATGCTTAAGTTTTCAATGGTAAAAATAAGATGTTATTATCCTTATAAGGGTTTTAAAAAGTATAAAAAAGTAATTTTAACAAAATCGTTCTCGAGGGATCAATTTACTCAACTATTATGATAAGTTGTTATACGAAATGTATATTCTTTGAGATAAGTATACAAAATATTTAAATATTATACATGTATAACAGTATAATAACAATATTTGTATGCAAATGAGAATATATAAGCATGTATGTAGGTGGAAAATTCTTAAAAAATTATTGAAAGCGATTAATCATGTTTCAGTTTTTCGTTTTTTTTTTTCTCTCTGTTAAGAAATAAATTTGATATTTGTGCTTTGAACGAAAAACCTATAATATATTTTATATTTTATTTTTGCTGTAAAATTTTCCTAACCCTTACGGATTCATCAATTATATTACCCCCCATAAATATTGAAGAAATTTATTTTTTAGAAGGCATCAATATTAATTTTCATAATAATTACATTTTCAATATTATTCTATACAGTTGATATACTTAAGTATGTGTACCTATTGTGTCTAACGCTTGAACAATATTGAAAAGTAATTTTCAAATAAATTTTTGTACACTCTTAAAAAACACTATAAAATTTAAGTAGTTTACAATTTAATATTATGGTTATTTAATTTATGAAAAACAACTACACTGCAAACTATAAAATTAATATACTTTTTAATAAATCCAAATTTATATATTAGAAATATTGTAATTTTACAACAGATTGTTAATGAGAGAAATGTTCAAATACTTAAAAACTTTAATTTTACAATTAAATTTTATGGTGAAAACTCAACAATAAAATCAAATTATAATAATTTGTTATCTAATAAAAATTGAATTTAGGTTAAGTTACAGGATGGTTGAAATAACAGGTGGCAACTTTATAAATTTCGGGCCAATAGAAATTTGGTATGAATTTTGGGCCAATTTTGAGCCATTTTTGAGCCAATTTTGAGCCATTGAGTATTGACTCTTATATAGAAAATATTTCTATTTAAAAACTATTTCATTCCTCCTTTAACTATTATTGTGTAGGTAGTTACGGCTGTAAGGAGAGTTATTCCTGTCCAATAAGAGTCGCCAAACCACACTATTACTTATATATACTGAGAAAATGATTGAAATTTAAAATTGAATATGTTGTTATCAAAAGAATGCTTTTACTATTTTAGATATTTCCAATCTTCAAAATTTTTCCTAAAAGGATAATACCTAATTTTAATTTAAATGTAACACTGCTCCAGCTTCAGCATGGGGACGGCGGGGGTAGTATGGGTCACATTTCTTTTTGCCAGGAATCTTAACTAGTTTATTAAAGACTTGGGCTGGTTCAAGGCTGACAATATTAATTGTGTTCAATTTCAGGCATTTAGTTTTGTTGGTGTTAATCTTCAGGCCGACTCCCGTTGCTTTCCTTTCTATGATTTTTAATTTGATCTGCATATCCGCATATATATGAGCTAAGAGGTACATACTCAGCCTGCAGGTCAACCCCCATTTGATACCATTCGGCGTCGATTCTTTTCATTAACTCATTCAACACTATGAAGAGGAAAGTTGATAGAGGATACCCCCACTATCTATCACCGCTCTGTTATTAACTATAAAATGTTCAATAAATTTTCAATTTTAATAAAATGAAATTCCGCGTCTTAAGTCATTACTAAGATTCTAACGTAATGAAACCCTGATAATTTTTATTTTAATCAAGTTAGACATAAAAATAAAATTAAATTGAATTTTTATGAAAATTTCTTATAAAATTGAATTGATCCTAAAATCCAGATATGAAGGATATCAAAAAACAAAAATATAAAGTTCATTATTTTTTAAAAACTATAACTTTTTTAAGCATAATAAAATTTTAATATTTTATAGGAAAATAAAAAGAAAAACAAAATAGTTGCCGTATAGTTTTTTATACGATCATTTAATTTAAATTCTATAGAAATATTAAACAATGCGACTACTCTATTTTTTTTATATTTACATAATAAAGTTATACAAAAAACAAAAATATTAAAAAAGTTTTGCTTTTTATGGCGATTCTTAAATAATAATTATTCATTTCTCAGATGAAAATAATTCTGAGTCCGAGACGACAAAGAAGAAGATTTATTTTGAAAAAATATTTTGTAAAAAAATCGTAAAATTTTTATGTGTACGCAAAATATTAGAAAATGTTAAGAGTATAACAGATTTTATATTCGATTTATAATAATCCTTGTATTACAGTAAAAGCTATTGAAATGGAAACCTACATCAAATATTTTAATTTTCATAGTAGTATTAGTATTATTTGCTTCAAATACTAATACTACTATGTTGCAGTTGTCGGAAATAACCTAAAAATATTTTTAATATTAATTCCACCACAGCGTATTTCTAACATTAATCATACTTGAATTGTTAATGACTGCCTACACGAAATTATCCTATTTCTTAAAACAGTTATCGACCATTTTCATACAAGTGTCTGCGAGTGCCATACAAATATTTACCAGCCCAGACTGAAAAATTACAACATTATTAAGTAGATACTAGCATATTGAAGCTGCAAAACCTATTAAAAAAGGTTTCCTCGTTTTGCATTTAAACATAGAACCTTGGAAATTACAATTGGAAATGTGCTCGTATTGGAGTAAATTATATAAAATTTTCAACAAAAATGCCTTAAAGTTGATCAGGTTAACTCTCTACGCTTCCTTATATTGTTCAGAAAATTAAAAACATTGAAATATTCGAATTTTTAATGGTTTTTTTTTGGGGAGAGAAAAGAATGTTTTGCTGTACGGAAAATATAAAAATTCTTTTGTTTCGAAAATATCAAAAAACTTTGGAAAGATTTTTTATAGTAAAAATGGCAAAACTTTTAAATTTTATGAATGAATTCAACCATGTTTTAATTGAAAGCTGCAAAATCACAAAAAAAAAAGTTTTGATCTGGCAAAAAATTTATTGGTTTTTGTTATTTTTTACGAGTTTAAAACAAAAAACTTTTTAATTCTAGTAAAATTTTGACCTTTTCCTGCCATTACTTATTTTTTTTTTAAGTTTTATTAAAAATTTGTATCGGTTATCAATCATTCAGTGTTAAAGGAGGGGGTGGGTGGGTCTAATGTAATTTTACTGATTTTATGGAAAATTATTTTTAGTTTTTTTGCTTTATTTTATTGCGATTTATTATTGAAAAATAATCGGATAAGATGGATTTAAAAGTTTTATTTACTATATTTTTTTTTATGAGAACATTAAAAGTATAGGATATGTTGTATGCATGTAGTTGTATAGAACGAAATATTATACTATGCTACTCCATTTTCCATTAAAATTCATTAAACTATAACGGTATTGGAAGATATTGAACAAAACTTCAAGACATTTTTAATGGTTTTTGTCTACAATAAGGATAAGTTGGAAATGATAGCGAGAATACCAGAGTTGATCATGTCAACATTGAGATAATATTACGCTAATCAGGAATTATGCTAATCAACTTATGTTACATGAATCGTATTGAATTTGACCTTGTTGCTGGCAAATTTCTTGAAATTAAATTATTTTTGAAAAGTTATCGAAAAGGGATCTGCTGAGCATTTAATATAATCTACTAAAAATTGCAAAAATTTTGTGAGGTTGGCGCTCCTTGATTTTCATTTATCGCGCAGCCGAACAGGAAGATATTTTTCTGCTGATAGCTGCTGAGCAAAACTTGTTTATATCTCATCGTCCCAACGTCACAATCCGAGTGAAAATAAATCTATGAGAATGTAAATGATTATTTAACATAATTAACATTTTGTATTGTAAAATTCGAACCATATTCCTGTTTTGTTCCTCATGGGGAGTTTTTAACATACTGCTGGCGCTCTATCCAGAACGCCTTTCAAATTCATTTGAA